TCTCCTAATATTTCAGTTTGTAGAAAAGACTGACCATTAAAGGGAAAACATTCAAATCAGTACTAAGTGACGTTTAAGCTGTTTCTTCACTTTTCTCTAGCATACCTGAGAAGAAGACTGTTTTTTCCTCCACTGGGTTTTCATAAGCGGCGTCTATCTTGGCAGGCAGGTCAGGCCAGTAGGTGGCCACAAGCAAAGGGCCATTGGGTTTTCTTCTGAAGTCGACTGACCTGAATAAGAACCTGGCAGAGAGAGTGAGTGGGTGAGCCTTCATGAGTTAGATGAGCTGGGTATAAAATGAGGGTCCTACATATGGACAAAGTACCAGCACACTGACAGCCCTGCAACAATTTTTGATTGTATAAAATAAGAGTGAAAGAGGGGCAGAGAGGTTCAATAAGGAAGTGGGGGGGGGAGTGTGTGTGTGTGTTTGTGTGAGAGGGGAGGGTTTAGTGCAAGTTCTCTACTGGGTAAGCCAGCCACAATGGCCTGATTCATGAACATCTGGTTTTCGTTAATGACTAAGGCTGCCGACGCCAGCGGAACAAGACCCATCTTGCCCGGATTTCCAATATACAGCTGCACAACAACGACAGCTTCCCAAAATCTTTTCCACTGACCTATTTTTTAAAAAGAAAAATAAATCTGCGGATTTCAAAGATGGGCTGTGATAATAATAAAATAAAGATAAGATACCATGTACAAATTGCATCTCACACAAGTTAAATCACAAGATGAGTTGGAAAATGGCTGGCAGAAATGTTTAGTATGTCATTTGGGCATACTAAACATTTACCTAAAATGTTTTTACCTAAAATACCATACAATTATGGTGATGGTAAAGTCTTCCCCTGTTTGGGTGACAGATTTGGAGAATAGGCCAAGGGTGTTTTCAGCACTTTCAGTATGCTTTAAAAACATATCTTGTAATATTTTTTTATGAAATCAAACTCAGACAGAATCATTTTGATACGTTTATGATCACCTTTTCTTCTGCAGTAGACATTTAGTTTGTCTGCATTTGATAATTACCTCACTAAATGTAAATGTTTTTATTGCTAGCGCAAAGTCCAGCATTACTGTGCTAGATTCGGGATGCATATCTGTGTACAAGGGATTCACAGGAAGATGATGAATGTAATTTTATGTTATTGATAGAAGCATCACTGTTTACTGTTCACTGTCTCTACACCATTAGAGCTCTATTAAGTTACTACTAAAGCAAATGGTTATTAAAAAGTGTTAAACTGAAACATGGGTTCTGTCTTACAGTGAGCAGCCACTAAACACAGTGTGTGGTGACTGATTGTTGATCAAAACTGCATTTACAAAACAAGAGAATGGCTTTTTTTTGCAGATTTTTCATCTGTCTTCTGTTTTTATTCTATTTTTTGTAAGGTAGTAATGGAACAAGAACAGGCCTCTGTGAACATTTGCTTTGCAAAAGGCCATAAATACACAACGAGTACAATCAGTAGGTTGGTCCAGTTATTCCTGTGGGACAGACTGCATATTTGCCTTCTTCTTAAGCCTCCAGGCAGACAGACACACTTTTATGCTGAGCTCGGGGAGTACTACAAGGATTACTCGTTGCAGCTAGTCAAGATTTGTCTAACATCATAAACATGCTGAGCCAGGAGAAAAGGGGATCCCACTTATACATTGGCTGGGAGAGTCAAATGAGTGCTAGCCCTGGAGCCCTGAGAGCACTACTCATTCTTTGAAGCTGTAAAACTTGTACCAAAGGTCTGCAGCTTACAAAACTGACATAGCCTTCAGGCAACTCATTAAGTCACCGTGAAGGTCAGTGCAACTGGCCCATACTGAAACTTTAGTAATCTCAGTCTTTGGAAAGATGTACTGTATTTTATGTTCACTTCAGTGCCTTGAGAGAATTCTGTCCTCAGTTTCTCTCGCTTGCCTTCAGATGAGTGGGTCAAAGTCTTCTTGTGCACGGCACATTTTCCCAACTGAAATTCATGGCATATCAAATCAATAACTACTTGAAAACATCATACCATACAAAGTCTTATGGCAATACAAGAGAGCTAAGAAACACAGTGAGCTGCTAAACATGGCTGAACATGAGCCAAATACACAATAAGTCAACTAAATTTCAGTTGAGTAATGCAATATGTCTGTAGGCCATCTTGATTTCCAACAACTGGGCCAAAGTTTCATGGGCCACAGAGCACACTTGGGGAGCTGCTCTGTCGATCACTGTGAATGCATGAAAGAGAATCACAGCAGGGTGAAAAATAATTCTGTATTAATTAAAGAAGGATTTGTGAGCAGGATTGTGGCTTGTTTCTTCTATTTTTTAACTCAAGGTTCTTGGTGCAGGAAGACTCTGCTAACTGAAAGACTGCACTCTTTGGTACGGACATCTGCCCACCTGTTTTCTTTGGACCCATTTCCAAAACAGCCATGACAGATATACAGCTCTATTAACCTTGAAATTACAAGGAGTTGGTGTTACACATCACAGCTAGACACGTTAACACACCATGACTAACAAAGATGCTATGTGTTTTCTGTCAGCTGCCTTTCCCAAATAGTTGTTTTTATTCTAAGTGACTCTGCTGCACGGACATCTACTGTAATAAATATCAGGAAAATGCACTGACTCACAGAGTGTTGACCAGACCAGAGCAGCACTCCTTGAAACTCCTCTTCTACACATGATCAAGCAACAGCTACACATTATGACTCCAGGTTCAGTGGCGCCGGTGGAGGAAAGGACTGTGTTTATGACTGATGACTATTTTGTTTAACACTGCACAAGTAGGGGGATAATTTGTTTTTTACTCGTACTAACTGTTACATCACAAAACAAGCATCTAAACCACAATCTTCAAGACTGCAATATGAGAAACAAGAATTAACAAGAAACCTCATGTCCAACTGTTCACTGTTTGCAGGGAAATTATTATGAAATCCAACCTGTGTATATTGCCTTATTTCCCTTGCACAAGTCATGAAGCCAGAAAAAGGCTATTGGGTTTTGTTTGCTAGTGGACTCATAAATTACAGACAAAAAAAAAATTGCCAGACTTTAGCAGTGATTGTAAGATTCAAGGCAGTTACACACGAACTTCCCCTTATTTATGACTAAGATAGCTAATGAAAACACTGCAGCCAGTACATTCAAACAGCACGGTCATGACCTCTGATTGTGGATGGATTACTTGTTAGTGTTCCTTCCTCATTTGGTCATAATCTAGCATACAATATGTTCACTTGCTGAAGTCTAATTCAGGCCAAAACAGTATTAGATCTATCATTTGTTTTTGTTACCTGTCTTTGAAGAAGAAGGTCTCTCCTCTGATTTGAGCTACAGCGTCAAAGATAATTGGCTCCTTACAGATGTCCATTGGAGTGACTGGACCCCGGGTTGGAGGCAAAGGCTTGTCTGTTGGCACACCTGTTTTGAAGACATTTATCAGATATTTAATTTTATTAGAACATAATAAGAACTCCTGGCTTCTAAAAAGCTAAACACAGTTTTTTGTTCTAGTAATTAGACTTGTCCCTGCCTATGAAAGCAGTCCACATGACATTTAGTCTCACCATAGAGTTCTTGGATGCCTTGGACGTCATCATGAGAGAGTCTGAAGTCTCTGGTGAAGGTGTAGATGGGGGCCATCAAAGCTCCAGGGTCCTGAGAGTGCTCCAAGCCAAGAGCATGACCAAATTCATGGGCTGCTACCAGGAACAAACTGTAGCCTGGAAACATGGAACACAATAAACTTAATAAATATTCACATCGGAAACAGTGCATATGAAGGCAGATAAAATGAATATGATGATTGAATGACTTCTTCATTCCATCATACAAAATAAAGAGACCTAAATTTCCTTGATTCTGACTGACAGGCTGTTGTCTGAACTGACCCAAACTATAGCTTTGTTTTCCTGCTTATTGTGAGTGTACTTAAAGTAGGGGTAACACAATGACTAATACATAGTTTACTGTAATTATCTAAATTGACAAGCACTCATTCCTGCAATTGGCTGCTATTTACACAACTACATGAAAAACTGTCCACAGATACTATAGGCCTATACCTTCATACCTTGGTCAGGACAGAAGCCCCATTTGCGGTCATCATCATAGCTCTTGGTGGTAGCGCACCACATCTTGCCATCACTACGTCCAGATGAAGTGCAGGAATCATACGTGTTTCCCAAGAAGGTGAAGGGGAAGACACAGGGACTTCCTTCTGCATTTCCTCCCACAGTTGACATGGCTAAAAACAGCAAGGAAAACTAAAACTTTAAAAGTGAAATACACAGTGACCTCAGTTCATCTGATGAATGCATTCATATGCCAGAATTTTCCTGGGAACTTTTTAAAATTATTATTATCTTGTGAAATGTTTGCAGATGATGGAAAACAGCATGTTGAAGCAGCTGGCACAGCACAACATCAATAACTAATCCACAAGGCACCAAACCAAAAAGCACCCGCCCAAATTGATTTTCTTTCAAGTGAGATCATTTTCAATCTGGCAAAGACTGTAAAAAAAAAAAAAAAAACAGCAACAGAAAATCATCATTTGTTATTCATTACAAGGTATCAGATAAGGCTTTACAACAACGTCATATTCCTAATCAGTAGAACCAGATGGAAGCCCCAGTAGTCATGCCTATCTCCATCTATCACACTGTCTCTCTCCCTCTCAGCTATGCTACTTCAACCCTAAAACCAGTCACACTGACAGAATGGAAAGCAAACCCTGCCACTGCACATTAAAATACCCCCAGAGCCATTCAGCAGACCACGAGCAAGACTGAAAACC